GGCCGGTGAGGCGGAGTCCGGCTCTCGCCTCAGGGGCGGCAGCGCTGCCCGCCCCTGCCGCTGCCCCTGTCCGTGGGCTGCCCGCCCTTCTCCCCCCCGCCCCTCGCTCGTCCCGCGCGGTCACGGCCGTCGTTCCCGGCACCGCCGTCCTCCTCACGTTCTCCTCCGGGTTCCCGCACCCGCGGGTCGGGGGCCGGCAGCTCGCCCGAGCTCCCGCCGAGGCTGCCGTCTCGCCCTAGGCGGGGGGGGCCCCTGCGGGCCGCCTGAGGGCTGCCTGAGGCGCCGGGGAAGCCCTGGGCTCCCGGTGCTGCCGCCGGTCCCCCGGGCGTGAGCCGTGCCGGCTTCGGCTCCAGCTGCAGCCCCCTTGCCTTGAGCCAGCCCTGTCACCACCCGTTCCTTGGCGTCCCGTGCTTCAGCACTTTCTTCATAGGCTGCTTACACCAGTAAGTGGCACCCACGCCGCGGTGTGTCCCCCCCCACACGCCTCCCGTGGGGGTGGCGAGTGCTCTTAACTCTCCCCGTCCGACAGACACGGCTTTTTTCACTGCTGTGACCCACCGAAAGCGGCCGTGAAGCGTGCCACGGTGCCCACCGCTCAGCTGAGGGGCTAGCGCACGATGAAACGAAACATCACTTCCAGACAGAGACCGCTTCCCTGTCAAAGTCTGACCTGCCAGCTCTGAGCAACTTGGGGCTGGGGAGCTGGTAATGAACACAACAGCCCTTCCTTCCCTCCAGGAGATCACAACAGCCCTTCCTTCCCTCCAGGAGATCATCTGCGTGCGACCCGCTGGCCAGAAGCTCATGCCGATAGCTCTGAAGGGTCCCTTGCTCAAACGCGTGCCTGTCAGGGAACGAAATCGTTCAGGCTACTTGGAAACGCAAAGCCGAAATACAGAGAAAACTGCACTTTCAAATAAAATGTGAACTACCACTAACACACGCTGACACTCAAGACCTCTCAGTCACGCTTCTGCCGAGGTCACAGCATGGAAGCAGCTCTGGTTTCTAGAGAGATCGTCTGATGGGCACGAACCAAAGGAAAAAAATCTATGCTGGCAGTGTTCAATGCTTCTTGCTGCCAAACTTGCTGCGTTTGGAATAGGGAGAGGGACCGGCTTTCAGCCAGCCGCGCTAATACCTCTCACGCAAATTCTGGGCGCTATGAACCTTCGTGACCCTTTGAATTTGAGAGGAATTACTGGGGCCATCTGCTTGTGTCCCCCCAAGAGATTTTCTGCAGGACACAATTTGATAACACAAATAAAAAAAAAAAAATAACAAGCACTACAGCGACCACCAGAACTTTTGAGTCGTAATGTCCAAGTTCAGCTCAGAAAGTGAAGTCTCTCAACTCTTCCAGCACATGAAGGAAACTGAAACTTGAATGACCGACAGATGGCTCAGAAGAGATTAAAGTGGTGTTAATAAGCAAAGCACTATGAAGGGCTGGTAGATATCATAATGTCACACTCAGTTAAAGACACAGACCCTCCGCTAACTCATGTGGTGATTTGTCCCAGGGCCTGGCCACGTTATTACTGCTAGATGTAATCCTTCTAGCTAAGTACTAACAAATCAATAAAATCACTTCCCACCATCTGCGACCGGCAGGGAAGATAGCCTTCATGTTACAGGCTGATGCTGAAGAATTTATCCATTCATTACCAACAGGCAAAAGTATGGCAGCCACCTCAAAACAGAAGGAAGCAAGACTGAAAAGAATAAGATGATGAGAAGAAGGTGAGGTACCACCATATGTTTAGTATCAGAAACAACTAAAACATGACGTGACTGGAATAGTAATACTAGGCACCACGATTATGTTGTTATAAGTATCCATAGGTAGTCCGCACTCCCTCAGACGATTTAGGCCTGCGCGTGCCACGTGAAAGATTTAGCTCAAGTAACTGCAAGAACTAATTCACCAGAGCAGCGGCCCTAGTGTTGAAGAGTTGCTGCTTTAAGCCCCACCTAAACAAAATATTAAAGGTCTATGACCATAAGACCCAAGTGTCTCTAAGATAATTTTATGAAGAAAATATTACATGAGGTTAAGTTATCCTGCTCACCTTTCTGCTTATTAATTACTGACACAGTCACGTATATGTCTGTTCTGTATTATTGTGTTAATTACTGTATGCTGGGTCAAGCACGTAAATTCTTACTGCTGTGTGTGAAATACAAAATTAATACAAAGAGCATGAGGGGATTTTATATATAGGTTTTATAACTTAAGAGGGAAAGATGAAAGCTCTTGCAGAGTAATGGTTAAAAAAAGTGATGGAAGTTGGATTGTGGACTTGCATCAAGCCGCTATTGTGAATAAAACTGCATTACTGAAAAGCACAGAATCACAAAATCATTTAGGTTGGAAGGGACCTCTGGAGGTCATCTGGTCCAGCCTCCCTGGTCAAGCAGGGTCAGCTAGAGCAGGCTGCCCAGGACCGCATCCAGATGGCTTTTGAGTAGCTGCAAGGATGCAGACTCCACAGCCTCTCCAGGCAACCTGTGCCAGCGCTCAGTCACCCTCACATGAAAAAGTGTTTCCTCATGTTCAGATGAGACCCACTGTGTTTTGTTTGTGCCCATTGCCTCTGGTCCTCTCACTGGGCACCACCAAAAAGAGCCTCAATCTTGCTTACACCCTCCCATCAGATATTTATTCACATTGATAAGATCCCTCTGAGCCTTCTGTTCTCTAGGCGAAAGTCCCACCTCTCAGCCTTTCCTCATATGACATGCTCCAACGCCTCAACTATCTTCATTGCCCTTCACTTGACCTGCTCCAGTATGTTAATGTCTTTCTTGTACTGGGGAGCCATGAACTAGTCTTAGCACTCCAGATGCGGCTTCACCAGTGCCGAGTAGATGGGAAGGTTCACCTCTCTCAACCTTCTGGCAATGCTTTTCCTAATGCCTACGTCTTAGGCACAACAAATGATTTTACATTATTTTTGCATGAAGACAGTAGACTCTACTAGAGAGAAATATAGAAGAAACCATAAAAGTAATCTCATTTTTCATAGGGCTACATGAAGAGACTCAGCTCTTATTGTCAGTACTTCAGACCCTTAGTGGTCATTTTCTGATTTGCCCACATTTGCTTTGTAAAGATGAAGTATCTGCCGTTGTCGTCCAACCAACAATGTGTGGAAAGCCCAGTCTAGTTCAATACATTATATCTTGAAGCTGGAACGATACCTGAGAGTCTTGAAAAGAATTTCATTGCCTGGTTAGTAAGAATGCCCCCTGCTTAGTAACATCCAAAGTCTTGTCACTGACAGGCATCCTATTAATGCCATTTATCTGAAGTCCTATCTAGCAAAGACTGCTGTGAAATCTAGAAATGGAATATCAATATAGCTGTTGTAACATACCGGGTGAATTACTTTCCTAAACATGAGAAGCCAGTCATTATAATGGAATCTGTGATCTTTTCCTCTCACTTCATAGCAACAAGTATCCACATATGCCCCATGCACAGCAGATGCGTATTTCTTTATGACTGTAGACCTTCCCTCAATCTTAGGAACTTTTCTTCTCCTCCATATCTTCCTTTCAGATTGTCCAAAGGCCACGTTCTAAACTTCTCAATTCCACCAATACTCCCTTTTCAAGCTCTTTGCGTTAGCCTAGCTGTGAGCAGTCATGATTGTCTGTTCTTCTTGCTTGAGGCAATCTGAAAGAAGAAACTGGAAACAAACAATTCAGAGGGTTTTCCTTTAGGTTCCTTCCCTAGAAGAGTGGTGCTCTTTCTCAGACTCATGAGAGACTGGGAATAGTGAAAGCTGTGGAGGAGTTTTCTGTCTGAGGGGGTTTGCTGTTTGAGGGACAGTCATGAAGGATGAAATATCCTGTAGCATAAGGGCTCAAAGTATTTTCTCACAATAGATTAGTAAAAGTGGGACACCGTGACTTCTCTCTCACTCAAGAAGAAGTTGAAGGAATTTAAAAATTTCAAAGACAGACCAAATTCACAGTAAAATATCTTTTATTAACCTATCATGATTTTCAAGAGCAGTTTTTGTTTTGGCATCTGATTCACGATTTTTCATTTCTTTAAGTGTGGTGGCACTGCAGTATTTTAAGAGAGAGAAGAAGGTCACAGCTAGCTCTAGCATGAGAAGAAATGGAAACAGTCCTTTTCAAGGCAGACAAAAAACACTGGCACAAAAGGAGTTCATTTCAGGTAGGGATTTCAGTACCTATTCCGGACAAGATTTGTTATTATGCATAATTTTATAATGAGTGCCTACATCCTGCAGTGATTAGTGTCTTAAAAATGCTCTCAGACAGAAGCCTTGGTCTTCTTTTAAATATATTTTATTTAAAAAAAAAACCAAACTCTAAACAACAAACTAGCAGTTCCATCGGCAGCAAACCTTACAGAGCCTGGTTTTGGATGACAGCTTTGGATTCTCTTGTGTCAAACAATGCAGCTGAGTTTGCACTTCCACCTGTCCTTTACTGGGTGCACAAATCTGAGTCTCCTCTATCTAGCTGTTGATTTTCATAAAACCTGCAGGAGTTCAGTGTTTTTAGACCTCTCCCTTTTTGTCAGGCTTCTTTGAAATTGGTCAAGAGATTCAAATATTATTGCTGGAGTACTGACAGAAAAACAGTGCAATTGCATAGCTTGGTTTCCTTAAAAAAGTAGACTAGAAACCCTGTCCCACCCCCATAGGTCTCTAATTATTCCCTTTGCTCTTCTCAGTTCCCTCCTGTTTAGCTGTGTATTTCTGGCATGGCAGTTTCCAGAAAATCATCC